ATAGGATGGTCTTTAACCTCCAGGTGTTTGAATTCCTACCAAATTTCTTCTTGTGATTGAGTTCAAGTTTCAAAGCATTATGGTCTCAAAATATGTAGGAATAATCCTAATCTTTTTTTTTTAGATTTTATCTATTCATTCATTTTTTTAAATAATAAATTTATTTTTTATTGGTGTTCAATTTGCCAACATACAGAGTAACACCCAGTGCTCATCCCGTCAAGTGCCCCCCTCAGTGCCTGTCACCCAGTCACCCCCACCCCCCGCCCTCCTCCCCTTCTACCACCCCTAGATCGTTTCCCAGAGTTAGGAGTCTTTATGTTCTGTCTCCCTTTCTAGTTTCCTACCGATTTCTTCTCCCTTCCCTTCTATTCCCTTTCACTGTTATTTATATTCCCCAAATGAATGAGATGTTTGTCCTTCTCTGATTGACTTACTTCACTCAGCATAATACCCTCCAGTTCCATCCACGTCGAAGCAAATGGTGGGTATTTGTCGTTTCTAATGGCTGAGTAATATTCCATTGTATACATAAACCGCATCTTCTTTATCCATTCATCTTTCGATGGACACCGAGGCTCCTTCCACAGTTTGGCTATTGTGGACATTGCTGCTAGAAACATCGGGGTGCAGGTGTCCCGGCGTTTCATTGCATCTGCATCTTTGGGGTAAATCCCCAGCAGTGCAATTGCTGGGTCGTAGGGCAGGTCTATTTTTAACTCTTTGAGGAACCTCCACACAGTTTTCCAGAGTGGCTGCACCAGTTCACATTCCCACCAACAGTTCATTCATTGAAGACATAGAGAGAGGCAGAGACACAGGCAGAGGGAGAAGGAGGCTCCATGGAGGAAGCCTGATGTGGGACTCGATCCCAGCACCCTGGGATCACGCCCTGCGCCAAAGACATGCTCAACCGCTGAGCCACGCAGGCGTCCTGGAATAATCCCAATCTTTTGGTATTGGTTGAGACCTGATTTGTGACCCAGTATGGGATCTTCTCTGGCGAGAGTTTTTTTGTGTACTTGAGAAGAATGTATGATCTATTGCTTTGGGGTGGAATGTTCTATATATATCTGTGAAGTCCATCAGGCGCAGTGTGTCATCCAGGGCCCTGTTTCTTTGCTAATCTTCTGCTTAAATGATCTATCATTGCTCTGAGTTGGGTGTTAACGTTACCTTCTATTATTGTATGATTATCAATGTATCTCTTTAATTTGGTTATTAACTGGGTGATATAATTGGCTGCTCCAAAGTTAGGAGCATAAATATTTATAATTGTCAGATCTTCTTGCTGGATAGATCCTTTAAGTATGATATAGTGTTCCTCTTCATCTCTTACTTCAGTCTTTGGTTTAAAATCTAATTTATCTGATATGAGGATTGCTACCCCAGCTTTCTTTTGAGATCCAGAAGCATGATAAATGATTCTCCACCCCCATGCTTTCAGTCTGAAGTTGTCTTCAGGTCTAAAATGAGTGTCTTTGTTTAAAAAATATTTTATTTATTTATTCATGAGAGACACACACAGAGAGAGAGGCAGAGATGCAGGCAGAGGGAGAAGCAGGCTCCATGCAGGGAGCCCGACGCAGGACTCAATCCCAGGACTCCAGGATCACACCCTGGGCTGAAGGCAGGCGCTCAACCGCTGAGCCTCCCAGGCATCCTGAAAATGTGTGTCTTGTAGGCAGCATATGGATGGGTCTTTCTTTTTAATCCAATTTGATACCCTGTGCCTTTTGATGCAATCGTTTAGCTCATTTACACTCAGAGTAACTATTGAAAGATATGAATTTAGTGTCATCGTATTACCTATTCAGTCCCTATTTTTGTGGATTGTTTCTGTTTGCACCCTCTTTCTATTACAGGGACCCCCTTAATATTTATTGCAGAGTCGGTTTGGTGGTCACATATTCTTTCAGTTTCTGTCTATTCCTGGAAGCTCTTTATCATGTGCATAAAGATATGCTCCACCCCTCTCAGGGGAAGGCAGAGGATCTCTATGTTTCTGTCCTTTGCACAGTCCTCACATGGAAAGCTGTCACCCCATGGGACCACTGCTCACAGTTTATGGTGAACTGATCTCAGAGCCCCCTCCCAGACCTAACCAGTTTCCTGGCTCCAATGCTTGGGAACTCTACCAGTTCAGGCACCCCCATTCTTTCTGTGATTCCAGAGATCCTGGGGCCATACTGTTCCGACTAGGATTCTGCCCCATTTCACCACCTGAACATCTTTCAGGCATTGATATCTTTCACTGGAGCCGATTTTTAAGGGTCCTTATTTTGCACTTGGGGACTATATCACTTTCCAGGAACCAAGTTACTGACGATCCCCACCCCTTATCCCATTTATCTTCCAATATATCTCTTGGGATTCACTTCTCTGCACCTCCTCCTACTTTGCAGAAAGTGGCCACTTTTCTACTTGTAGAGTTGTAGCAATTCTTTTCTTACATCTCAGTTTGAATTTTGGGTGTTCAGAATGATTTGATAGGTATCTAGGTAAGTTCAAGGGACCAGATGAAATGAGGTCCCTCTATTCTTCTGCAATCTTGCCCCTTCCTTGGTTGCCTTTTTCTTTGTTTTTTAAAGATTTTATTTTATTTTTCCATGAGAGACCAGAGAGAGACAGAGACAGAGACAGAGACATAGGAGAGGGAGAAGCAGGCTCCATGCAGGGAGCCTGATGTGGGACTCGATCCTAGGACTCCAGGATCACGCCCTTGGCTGATGGCAGGCACTAAACCACTGACCCACCCAAGGATCCCCCTTGGTTGCCTTTTTTATAATATTTTGCCTAATTACAAAATGGCAGAACATCCTTGTAGAAACTGGAAATACTAGGAGGGCTCATACACATCAAATCTGCCATTTTAGTAGTCAAAAATAATCACTCTTAGGGGCGCCTGAGTGGCTCAGTCAGTTAAGTGTCTGCCTCCAGCTCAGGTCATGATCCCAGGGTCTTGGGATGGAGCCCAGAGTTGGGCTCCTTGCTCAGTGGGATGCCTGCTTTTTCCTCTGTCCCTCCCCTTGCTTGTGCCCTCTCTCTTCTGTCTCTCTTTCAAATAAATAAATAAATAAATAAATAAATAAATAAATAAATAAATAAATAAATAAATAAATCTTAAAAAAAAATCACTCCGTATCTTAGTGCATTTTCTTTTAATCTTTTGCTGGTATATACAGATAGACTGTGTATATATTTTGAGAAAAATAAAATGATATTACAAATCATACTTTTAACTCCACATTGTTCATCTAGAAGATGTACAGAGAGTTCATGCTGGGATCTGGCTCCCAGTGGGCTTGTGGGGCCAAGACATGGAGGCTGGAAGATGGCAGGAACCACACAACTGACTTTCCTCACTCTCCTGGAATCACCAGGACTGGATGCTCTAATATGCAAGTATTCTAGCATGTACAAAGGCCTGATTTTGCTTTCTAGATAAACAAGAATGTAGCTGGAATGGTGGCATGTCTCTTCTTTGGCTATGGAGAGAAGCTATACCCCCTCCAGAGATTTAAAAAAAAAAAAAGGTTTTTAGAAGTTAATATTGGTTCAACACATGTGAATTACAATTATTTTCAGCTCAGCATGATCAGAAACATGGAGGCATAGTGCCTTGTGACTAGCAGAATGCTCAGTTGCCACTCCACTTCGAAGTAGGCATCTTGGCAAAACAGACAGCTTAGCTAGGTTGTTCCCATTTTAGGGAGAGAGGAAACTAGATAATATCTAAAAAGTTGGGTTGACCTGTCTGCTCCAAAGTTCTGCACTTGTAAGGGTAAGGCTTTTTTATTCAGAGTTCTGTTGACACATGTGACCTCTCATAACTATATGTTCCCCCTCAGGAGATTCCTTTGGCAAGAAAAACCAGTTTTTTGCCAAAGAGAGGAAAACCACATTTTCCTTTCCCCAAGAATATTAATATATATCATCCTAGATGTGAGATCTTTTATACTTACATATATCTGTTGACCTAACCCTGAACTTCAGTGTTCCTTATGTGCTGGGGATTGCAACAGAGGAATGGCGAGGAAAGTTTTTTTTTCAGTTTATCAAGTATAAATAATAGAACTTCATTTTATTTATGTATAAAAGGCTCATCCTTATCTATGTCACTGGTTCTCAATAAGGGGTGACTTTGCCCTCTAAGGAATACTTGGTGATGTTAGAAGATATTTTTTATTGTCATAATGGGTAGGGGAGAGTCCTATTGGACTGTAATGTTATGAGGGATGCTGTTAAACACTTTACAAGCACAGGACCGCCCCCTACCCCTGGCCCTAATTGTCGATAGTACAAGGTTGAAAAACCATGGTATATGTGGTGATAAGACTGAATGAGTAGATGACTTAATTGTGTCTTGAATTTTCTATATTTATGATGTTTTGACATCTTAAGAAGCTTGTTGGTCATGGAAAAGCCCAAAACTTGCCTTTTCTTAGAGATATCAGAAGGCTTGCTGTAAACATGTCAACCAATCCTAAATCTGGGGTCCCAACCACCAATAAGACTCACCCATGAAGCCATATTTCCCATTTCTTAAATCATCCCAGGGCTAAGTGCCATACAACTATAAACCACGTCTTAGCCCAAAGCCCTCTGGAATTATTCAAACTAGCCAATCCTAAACCGTTTACTCTGCCCTGATTTTTGCTCAGAAACTCCAATAACAGTTCTGGACTAGATTTTCACCATGCTTCTGTCTTTTTTTTTTTTTTTTTTGCTTCTTTCTTTTGCCACTGCGCAAGACCTGGTGCTTCCTCTGTGGCCCTGCATGGTATGCAGTGAACATTTCTCTAGAACTATGAATATAATAAACTTCTTCCAGGTGTTGCTTCCTTTCTTCTCATGGCTGCCCTGACTTTACCATACCATACTGAATATTTTCATTCTTAGAACAGTAATAATGAAAATAATTCAGTCTCCTGTCTTCACATTTGGTATATTTCTACAGAAAGCTAATTTAAAAAATAGTAGAGAAACAATCCACATACTTTCTCAGGGCGCTCCTTCCCTGACGATCTTCCTCCAGTTCCCTGTAACAAGTCTGTTTGCTAATTTCTTTTTCCCAGAAACTTTTGAGCTCATGACAAGTTTCACAGCAAAAGACTTCCCGACGGATATATTGATTGTTCATCCCCTGAAAAATAGAAGAAAAAACAAATCCCAGTTCTTCAGATAAAACCACTCTAATTTTGGAGTGATGAGAGGTGAGTTTATTTATTTCTTCATGAGAGACACACAGAGAGAGACAGAGAGAGAGAGAGTGGCAGAGACACAGGCAGAGGGAGAAGCAGGCTCCATGCAGGGAGCCTGATGTGGGAGTCGATCCCAGGACTCCAGGATCTCACCATGGGCACCAAACCGCTGGCACTAAACCGCTGAGCCACCCAGGGATCCTCCAAAGGTGAGTTTAAATCCAGCCCCTGCCATTTACACTTTTTGTGGTTGTAGACAGATTTCACGATCACCATGATTTTGTTTCTTCAATTGCAAATGGGAATATAACGATTGTCAGAAAGTGTAAAAAAAATTGAAATGAAAAAAATTTTAAAGGGTGCTAATAACCCCTACAGATGATCTGATGTTATTGTCTTCAAGCTGCTTTACAACTCTGAAATAATAGAAAGAACATAGTAATGCAAATGATTCTTGAACATAGAGATTCAAATAAATTTTGTCTAGGGGAATGCAATTGATAGCTGTGTGGATACCAAGCAATTTAAAATACTTCTAAATTCACTTCAATATTCTTGATAGACTACTTATGTGTTTTTAATTTTTTTAATTACTTGTAATATCTTACCAGTTTTCTCATTAATAAGTTAAATAAAATATTTGACTCATGTTCATTTTATATTTGCGTGATAGTTATGATTTTAACTTAAAGAAATGATTCTTAACAGTTATGTCACAGTTGTGTGTATATGTACACAAAGTGAAATATACATGCAGAAGCTCTAAACACAGTATATGGCAAGTAGATAATCGAGAGATGTTATGCTCTTTCTGTCTTTCCTCACAGAGTAACAATAACCTCTACCATTTATTGAGCCCATAATATGTGATAGGCTTTCTATACACACTTACATTTGATCCTTCCTACAACTCTGGGAGCTGGGTGATTCTACACTCATTGTTCAGATGAGGAAACTGAGAAATAGAATTTGCCTATGTCCTCATAACTGAACACAAAGTGGTGGGAATTTGAACCTAGGTCTGTCCATTTTCAAGGTGGATACTTTTGGCCCTGGGATTCTCATCACAAGAAATGGTTGGCATACCTGGAAACGGTCACATCCAGAACAAGCTTGTGTGACGTGTATGTGTGTCCCATGAAAGTGCACATGTTTAATACTCAAAAATATTTACTTATGTGAATATTTCCCATTTTCCAGATCTTAGTGGCTTTAACAAGCAGGCAGATGCAAAGGACAGCAGAAAAGATCCTTTCCTGTCTGCTGGTAAGTACCTGTTCAGAGAAGGGCTTTGGCCCTGGCTGGAGGTTGGGAAGAACCTGGACCTTACTGTTTTGCTATTGTTTTTGATATCTTGAAATATGTAATAGGTTCTTAGTTATTCTTCATTAAATTAAATTAAATGACACTTGTCAAGTTAAATTTTTTCTAAAAAGACCTGGCCTGGGATTGCCAAAGGCCTCAGATGCTGACAGATGGTCTGGAGGGTGACTTTTGCACTTTCTGAGTAGGGGGTGTGCTCAAGGCCCTCTGTAGTCTCAGGAAGCCTCTCTGGGTTTTCTCAAAGCCCCACTTGAGTTCTGAAGCTCTAGCTTGGAGCTAACACATACTCCATCTTCTAAGAGTGTATTTCCCACTTATTTTCTCCCCCAGGCTAATAAATTTAGTGCAAAGAATTCTAATAAATTCTTAGTCATTCAATATTAAAAGAGTTGTTAAAAATATATACCAGCATTCATAGAACTAGAGTTTAGGTGTGCTCCTCTGTAGCAGTTAGGTTTCCTATGGATTTGTTTGAAGCTGCAGAAGTGTCTGAAGTTTTCTCATTTTCCTCATGTGACTCTGCCTGTATAAACGTTTGATAAGAAAATAGTCCTTGCTTTGAACAGACAAACTTGCAAACTTGTAACTTAAGTAGAGCAAAAGTAATGCAGTACTTATTCATGTGTTCCTTTATTACAAAATGCTCCTAAACATTTCAAGTTGAGTATGAATTTCAAGTTCATATTAGGTATTCCATATTCAGAGAAAGGACAGTTTAGTCAAATAAGTGCTCACTGGAATTATTTTCTTTTCTTGAAATTTATAATTAACATTTTTCTAAAAAAGTTATCAAAAAAAAAAAAAAAGAAGCCTATGCAGGCACCCAGACTACTCATATAATCACGTCATTTCACATTCATTCTATTTGGGAAAAAGATATGGAAGGAAGATTTAGTCTACAAGGCTCTGTAGCTACATAATTATGAGCTACTTTAAGAGAAATAGCTGAAAGCAGGGTGGTGTCCATACACTGAAAGAGTAAATTAAATCAAGGTGAGCCCAAAGGAAATCAAGCAGAAGGCTCTGGAGAATCTGATACATGCTGGTTCCATCTCCTGTTCCCTTTGGATCAGGAGGCATTTCTGGGGCTGTGACCTTTGGGAGGACTTAAGGCGGAGTCGTGAATTTAGATACCTCAGTGCCCAGGTAGGTGTCATATAGGAGCGAAGCTACAGGACCCAAGTGACAGAGAGTGGTGGGCACTGGGATCATCTGTAGAGACACTTTATTCAAGAAGGAGTTGAAAACTGTGCTGGCCAAAAGGAAACATGACTTTCATATGGATGCAGTTTAAGGGTTCCCTCATTGCCCTTCTTAAGAGATGAATTTTCTACCTGCAGCTTTGGCCCTATGTTTTTTTTTGTTTTGTTTTGTTTTGTTTTGTTTTTTGTTTTTTGTTTTTTAGCTTTTCTCAAATCTCTTCCCTGTGCTTTCTCTACAGGGCAACCTGAACTGTTTCACTTTCTCTCTGCTCGCTTCCTTCTGCTGAGCTTCTCTTTGTAGCCCCTTTCCTGCCTCTCTACCTGAGGATGGGATACCACCCTTGTTGGTCAGTCTTTCTTTTGCCATTATCCCTGAAGCAACTAGGATTGGAACTCTTCATCAGGTCTCACCTCATCCACTACAGGATGTGTGAAAACAACTATCCCAACTGCCAACCACAACTACAGTCCCACAGGGACTGTCACTCACCAGGACTAGAGGGTATGCCCTGACAGACAGGATGGCCCGGGAATTGAGGAGGGCAGAGGATTGTTGTCACTATTGTGACTTTGGACAATAAGCCCTTTATGTGCTCTGACCCCCAGTTTTATTATCTATAAAGTGGAGATGAAACGTAGTAATAAAGACAAAAGTTCCAAATACATTGCCTTTTATTCCCTAAATGTTCATCTACCAACCTAGAACATGCTTGCCCTGAGGGAGTTCACAATCTGTTGTCCTATCCCTGGTTGAGAGATTTGAACCACCACCTAAGTAAGTTCTTGTCTTTAGTTTATGCATGACTTTAAATACTTTGTTCCTTATTGACTCAACATGTAATTAAGGTTTATTCATTTCTGTTGCTGGGCTGTCAGAATTAGATAGCTTTAGATCTCAGGGATAAGATGCTTCCCTTCTTGTCCAAGGTCCAGTGTTGGAAAGCATACAGAGAAGCCTTTAGCAGAAGCTCTTGGTGATGAGTTTCACTCTTACATCATTTATGATGTTATATTTGGGGATCTTTGTAGTCAGATCTTATAATCACATTGACTGAAGGACACCTAACATGCTTAAGAATGTCAAAATAAGGCAGGAAACAGAAAATAAAAAGAATACAGTTTTCCCTGGGCGTACTGATGGGAAACCTAAGCATGGACTGGTCTAGGTGGAGAAAACCACCAACTATATGTTCTGTGGATATGGTTCTGCCCCAATAGATGTTCCAATGGGAGTGAAAAGGTATCACTTTCTCAAATCGTTCTGAATAGGACCAGAAAGAAGAAAGCTGGTGTGATCTCCTGTGGGACAGATCAGTGGTGCTTTTATAGTCACAAAATAGAAATACTAAGGAATGTGCAGATACATAAATCCATCAGGTACCTGAAATCTCTTGAGTCACATTTAAAGATTTTGAGATTGAGTTTCTTTTTTTTTGTAAATTTTATTTTATTGGTGTTCAATTTGCCAACATATAGAATAACACCAAGTGCTCATCCCATCAAGTGCCCCCCTTGAGATTAAGTTTCTATTTTGTACTGAGGAAATTTTCAAACTCAAGTGTCTTTATTCTGTTCTTGTGCAAGTGAATTTTCTACAAACCCAAGTTTAGATCTTTACATTCATCTTTTCTACAATTCAGTTTGCTGCTTTCTTCTCATGGTATGGGCAGATTGGAAAAGAATAGACTGGGATGCCTCGGTGGCTCAGCAGTTGAGCATCTGCTCAAGGTGTGATCCCAGGATTGAATCCCACATCATGCTCCCTGCATGGAGCCTGCTTCTCCCTCTGCCTGTGTCTCTGCCTCTCTCTCTCTCTCTGTGTGTGTGTGTGTCTCTCATGAATAAATAAATAAAACTTTTTAAAAAAGGAGAGGAATAGACCTCTCAAGTGAGTGCATGTGCTTATTTTTGGTTCCCTCTAATCCTGAGATTCTCTAAGAATATAGGATAACTTATTTTTCTTGATACCCAGAGAGCTTTGTTGTCCTTCACTCCCAATGGTTCAAAACTCAGGAGCAGAAAAGTTAAATTGCTCTAGTGACCAGAAGTTTACCATAAATGAGTTATTCAGGTTTGTTTCACAATCAACACTTAGAAATAGTATCTGCTTCTCCTCCTTTAAAAATATATGTCAGAGTCACTGTTCTTATCTTTTTTGTATCCTACTTTGATTTAAAAAACACAAGTACAGTGATACATTTCTCTTCTTTAAGATAGATACTAGGGTATTGGCAATGGATACTCCGCCTTGGTGGGACAATAAAGAAAAGTGAGTCCATAGATGGAGCAGGACTCCCTCAACCAATGGGCCAGTAAAACTTGATGCCACACATTCACCACCTGGTTAGTGGGCTGCTAGTCTATGATTTGTGGCTTAGTTTTATACCCTTTATTGAGTTCTTACTGAATACCCTTCACTCTTCAAAGGGCTTTACATCTTGCATTCAGTTGTCACGTTATTCTTATCCACATTTGACAGAAGAGGTGCAAAGAGGCAAGCCATTGCCCAAGGTCACTGTTGCCCAAGGCAACTTCATCAATGGTGGTGGAGCTGGGATTGAAACCTAGCCAAATTCAAAGCCTGTCAGAGGTGCTCACTATTACCTGTTTTATGTGTGGCATGATAAGGACTAAAACAAACACCTACATGGTGC